TCTTAATTTAAACTGTAGCTATGTCATTGAAAATATTTTAACATAATTATCTACATTTGCAATGCCTGTAATATGCTTTAAAAATTTGTACACATCAAATGTATATTTTTGGTTTGGCATATGCTACTACCGTGTAACTTCTGATGTTTACTCATATAATATATTCCTACTGAAATGAAGGCAACTCTCTTGATGTGTAAATAACACATTTCTTTTTTTTAATCCTGCTGAAACTGTACATTATCCTGCAGTGATCACTAATTTTCCTGATCAGTGAACGTGAGATTGACCTGTCCTGACCATGCTTCAAGGAAGTACACTGTAGCTGACACTCTTGCTTGTAGAATGAGCAAGCGTTTGGGGCGGGGGGGGGCTGAAGCTGTAATTCCAACCGAAGATCTGTTCTGTGCATGTTCTGTAGCCATGGTTAATAGCAATCTGCTTTTCAGTGAATCCCACTGAGTGATTTAAGAAATTATGGTCAATATTTGTGGAAATTTAAGAGATGAAAAATGCTGTAAACAGCTTACATGAAACAACACAACAGTACTGTAAAATATATATCTCTGTACAAACTTAAAACTAATTAAAATTTTCAGTCAGTCTTATATTTTGCAGTGTTTCCTCTGCTGTTTTTGTGCCCGCTGTGTCATACACAGTAAGAGCAGTATATGAATATGAATCGCTAAGAGTTCCCCCAAAATTATTTCTGTACCAGGAAGGATCCTGTTGCACTTCTAAAATTACCTCAGGTAACAACGGAAGGTTGAACAAATTAGCTGTGTCTTTAACCACTGAATTCCTGCGAATGAACAGCCCTTCATTGAGACTTGCTGCTTTGGAAAGGAAGCTCTGACAAGCTGCAGTAATAGAGGACTTGAGGAACCTGGAGTGTGGAGCCCTGCTGTGAGAAAGGCAGCTCAACCATGATGCTTCAGAGGAAGGAAAGATAAATGTGCTTGTGTAATGCAAGCAGCTTCCCTGCTCTCGTTTCTGTCTTATTTAGTACACCGTTTTAATTGTCTGCTAGTTGTCTGTATATGGGCAATAGCGTTGTGTTGGTTTGGTTTTTTGTATGTTTTTAATTATAATATTTACTGATATAGAAGTGTTTTTTATTAAGTTGTTCACCTGTTTATGCATGTTTCTATGCTAATGTGCCATTACCAAACATGAAATCATTTGACGTGATTATCTGGGCAGTCTGTTCAGAGTTGCTTGATTAAGCATGAAGTTAGTGTTTCAGAGCAGTCTTTCAGTATTCTGTAATTGTGAACTCTGGGAGAGCTCCAAGTGAAAAATTACAGAAAATTCCAAAAAAAAAAAAAAAAAAAAGTTAGCAGCCCAATTGCACGTAATTCTTCCAATTAGGTTAACAATATATGACTAATGGCAACTTCTAGGCAGGTGTGTGTGTGGCAATCAAGGAGGTAGACAGGAGAATTCACACTGATCATCTGTAAGACAAAGTAAGCGTCTTCATGGTATCAGCTAAATTCTGTGAAGGGGAAGTTATATTGTTGCTGTGTGACTTCAGTTGGCAGCTTTATGTAGCCTCCCAGACACTTTGAGACACTTTGGCGTTGGCATTCTATTGTAGGTGCATAACTTCTTTTTCCCTCTGGCCCAAACTGGAACAAGAGACTTGAGCATATAACCTAAAAGTAGTAGTAAAACTAAACACCATACTGTGTTCTTAATTAAAAAGCTCTTGCCAGATATGTTCCCCACCCTCTTCATATTTTTGTAAACAGCTGAGTGACTCCATTAATATTCAGAATATGAGGTCTTCTACTCAGAATCCACTTAATCTGAACTGTAGGTAAATTTTATTTGTAATCTAGGTATGTCCAAGATGTTTTATCCAGAGGTTGTCTTATGAATTGACAACGTGTCAACTATAACTTTGATTCAAGTCAATAGGATAAAACTGACGCTTGTGCAGTCAATTTAATGGAAGGCTAGGTCAGGTCTTTTTGCTCAAAATGTGGGGATTATGTGATGCCCAACTAAATTATTTGTAAAGAACATTGGAAGAATCATTGTGAATTGAAGGATCAGACTCTGGAGAGAGTATTTAGCAAAGAACAACAAGTTATCTAGCTGCCTTTCCTAAATGAAAATGTGTTTTTACATCGTTGTTTTACTTTACACCAACTTCTAAAATGAAATAGACCCTTGGCTACATTATAAAGAAAGCTGTTATAGATGGTCCTACAGATGATGCTATAGAGCCTGCATATTATGAAAATGGATCTTAAATATTTTTATTTTCATCCATTAATCCAAAGAATCATGGTCAACTATCTTCTCAATAAGAGTCTGCTGGCTACGTATCCTTTTCCAAACCTGCTCATTTTCAAAATGTTTTTTTTTATACAGTGCTTTTTGGTTTGCTAATGTGTTATTTTCCTATGGCATTTCCTGATTATTTTTTTTTTAATGCTGAGACCTCTATGGAAACTATTGCAAATTTATCAAAGAGTGGCTGATTGTTTCCTAGCTAACATTTTTTCATCATGTGTGTTGCTATTCTCTGTTCCAACAGTATGACTCATGCAAAATGCTCTATAGTTTTTTGCAATCGCTTTAATAGACTTGAAGATGTTGACTTTGGCACCTTACTAAAGCATGTGCAATAATCCCTGATTTTAAAATGACGATTGAATTTACTTCTACATTATATGCAATCATTGAAAGTAATCCAGATATTTTCTAATCTGTGCAGCTGATTCTCCTTCACTGAGTATTTTATCTGAAAGAGCTTGACTATGTTTAATGACGTTGAGGCTTGAAAGTTCATTGAAACAGCACAAAACTATTCTGCTGCATAATACAGAGAGTGGAAATTGTGATAGAAACATGTATCTAAGATGAAAAAAAAAATCATTGTCAAAATCCATTCTCCTTATGCATGCCTGGCCTTTTGTTTTGTTTTGTTTTTTTTGATGTAAGTATTTTTTGTTTTAGATGTGAAATTACATTTAATAATGGCTTTATGTAACGGCACTCCTAAGGTCTTGAAATTTCTTGGAATTTGTGCAGATTTATTGAGAACATGCCACTGATACTTTCTTCTGTTACCAGACACGTTAATAACTGGTATGCAGTAGAGGCATTCATCAGATGTGTGCATATCTGCAACACAGCACGTCCCTTCCAATATCTTGTTGGTTGACATCTATCATAGAATTGATAATTTTTAATTTGTTTCTACAGTACTGTTTGGGGGTTGTGTATATGTGACAATATTCCAGCTTTGGGAGGGAATCAGCACTAAGCCTTTTTGTTATTTTTTTTCTGATCCTCAGTGCTGTGAGAGGCTGTGCTAGTTCTTGACAGTACAGCTCAAGAAAAATTTATTTTTAATGCATGTTTTGGTGTTGATTCTTACCTGAGGTAAACATAGTTGTAGAAACGATGTGAGGTTTGGAAACCTCTGTTTGTTTCCCATTCCTCAGGTCAGTATTTTCTCCTGGCTCCTGGAGACGTGCCTGCAGATTGCACCGCTCTGGGTCTATGGCTAGGCATGGAGCTCCCCTCTCCGTGTACAAAACGTACTGAGACAGCACTGCGACCTCTGCAGAGCAGCCGGAAGATGGTAAGTAGGTTGTAGACACTGCTGTTTATGTACTGCACTTGAAAAGTTGTGACTGAGGTTTTTTCCCTGTAGATAACAGCACAGAAAAATGTAAGCAATGAATATGAGCGGAGACACGTGCAAATGTCCTGTGTGACAGGGCCACTGACTAGAAATGGTGTAACAATGCTGCCCAGTGGTGGTAACAGTGCTGGTGTTTGGAGTCCAAGTGATAGGAAACAAGAACTTGCATGTCATCTGAAATCATTTAAGAGCGCTAATGGGAAGAGTGCTGTTTACTGGAAATATAAAACACTCCCTCTTCCCTCAGACATGAGCCAAATTTGTGAACTTAAGAAATCCCATGCGTTTTAGATGAGAGGTTGACTTCACATAAAAGCTTTTGTGAAAGCGCGTCTTTCAGGCTGTGTTCTCATCGTGCTCTTTTTCCAGACAGCTTGTGCTTGCAGGCTATTTGCTACTGTCTAATTATAGAGTAGGAAGACTCAGATCAAAATCACATAAAAAGCCAACCAGCCAATGGCTTTAGAAGCTGGTAGCGCTGTGGCTGGTGGCGTGGTGATTCTTGCTGGGCTGCTTTGCTTAGGCTGAGGTGCTGGGCGTGTGGTAGAGGCGGTGGTGCTGAGGTGGCAGCCGAGTCTTGCATTGCACATCTAGCCCAAAGACTGCAGCAGGTATCAGAGGCTGCTTCAAAGGGTAGAAAATATGGGAACAAGGTGTTTTTGGCAAGGATGAGACTTTCTCTCGCTTGTGGTTGTTCCTCTTAATCTTAGAGTACATCGTGTAATTCAACAACTCTACCCTCTGTTATCATCCTGGTTTTCCTGTATTGTCATGAATAAAGTCGAAAGGCATTCTCAGTAGTTAGGAAGTTAAAAGGAAACACCTTAAATGTAAACTTTATCGCAGAATTCCTCAGACAGATGGGTTTGGAGTCAATAGCAGTATGTTGCAAAGGTAAACTCTAAGCTCTTCAGTGCTTTACAGTGGTAAAGTTGGAAGTGTATAGGGCAGGAGATTGATCTCCTGAATGTTTAGGATAGCATCTGCTCCATAACATAATGCTAGAGGCTAACATGCATGCCTATTCTGTGCCTTTCCAGTGTCTTTCAAACAATCCAAATCACCTGATGAAAAGGAGGTGCTAATGAAATGCTGAGCCCCTTAAAAATATATATATTTTATAAAAAGTGAGAAAAACTTAACTGAAAATAAAATTATAAGAATGCAAGGTGCGTGGGGAAGTGAGGAGGGAGAATAGGGAGAAGGCTTGCTGAAAGCGTTTTTGTCGACTCTTATCTTGGAGCAGCACCACTTTTGGCAAGCCCAGAATCCTGGCAGTGAAAGGTCCTTCTCTGGACTGTCCTAGAAGTGACTTCATTCACACAAGTGTTTTTCAACTATGCTTGTACAAGAAGACAAATCTTTACTGGACAACCAAATGCTTTACTACAAAACTTAGCTGGGTCTTTACATAACATGATCACAAATATTGCATGTTTATTTACATTCACAAGCAAAAACACTTTACTGGCAAAATATATATATATATTTTAATCCCAAATAGAAAGAAGATTTCTATGCAAAGTTAGTATAAACATTAATTTAAATATACTATGCTGACAAGGTAGCTCTAAACTGCAAAATCTGGGAAGTTACAACCTAGGCTTGAAAATACTGTTCAGAGCTTAATGTCAAAAGCAAAAAAATAAAAAATAATAAAAAAAAAGTATAAGAAATGCAGCAAGACATTACATCCCTCCCTAGCTAACCAACGTGTGGCTAAAACATTGTTCCGAATGCTCTATGTTAAAAGCTGTTAAATACATCAATGAGGCACGTAGTCACAGTTCTTGAATTGAATCTGCTACCATGGACTGGAGTGGCTCAAAGTATCTCTGATATGTTTATGTAGAAAACAGTGGAGATCAGAGAGAACGTACGCCCTGGTAAAGGCAGTGGCAGGAATTTGTTTCTGTTCAACAAACTATGTCGTGGTATTGAAAACAGTAAGAGGACTGATGTACAGCAAGTGAGAACCATGAAAAAGTAGGTTGAGATGATGGCCTTCAGCTCCTAAATCATGCAGGTTTCACAGGTTCAAAATCTCATCCAGCCTCCTCCTCTCTGCTAGCATGACTCATTTTCATCGATCTCTATAGGGCTTTTGCCTTGGGAAGGAAACAATGAAGGGATAATGCTGTTCTCAGGTAGGGGTTGTACCAATGGAATGCATTTTTCTTGTAAAATTGGTACTTTTGACAAGTATAAGTGAGTCTCAAAATAATCCAAGGACTCCCCTTCTTGAATCTCCATTAAAATCTGGTAGTCCCCGAAACAAACGATGCACTTCCATGGCAGGTCGATTTTGTTTAAGTAACCCAGTTCCGTGTGGTCCACAAACAGCTTTGTTTTCTTGCTCATGTTCTTTATCTCAAAACACAATTCTGAGCTGTTAGGCTTTCTGTAGAACTGCAGTGAAAACTGAATCCGAGAAACACGAGTATCCACCAAGTTATAATGGCAGATGTTAGGGTCACGGCCGAATTTGGCCATTTCATCTGCCCTGACCTGTTCTCGCTTACAGAAATTCAGGCAGCGAAACATCATCTTGTCGTCTTGGCAAGGATGGTAAAAAGTCATGTGGAGGCATGCTGCTGTTTCCTCAGTTTCAGCTTCTTCAAAAGAGGTCATGGTGAAATGAATTCTCAAAGCTACAAGAAAAAAGTAAAATCACAGCATGAAGTCACTGCAGTGCCATACACGACATGCTTAGGAGCTAAATTCCGTTCCGAAGTCTGAGTTACCACGGTGCATCCAAATACAAATCTACAAGACACCTCAGGAAACACTGTCATCTGGTCCTCTGTACATGGAAGGCAAGTTACCTTCCTACACAGGAAAATAGAAGCTGAAGAAAGAAAAGGCTACGTAACCTGAGGAGGAGTTCTCGGTTGCTGGTCAGAGAAGTGCATTATTTGTGAGCAGCTACTGGAATCAAACAGTACAATCAAAGTCTTACATCTCTGGAACAAAGTTCCCAACGTGTCACACCAAGTCTGAGCTATCTTTACTGGTTCTATTCATCGAATCATCCTGACTCAAGCTTACAATTTAACCTGCTGTTTTATGGGCATCTGAGCCATGCTGGGTGAGCTATGTGAGCAGGAGGATGGGCTGTCTTCTGCGCTTCCTTCTGCTCTTGGCTGTTTCGTGTAACCTGTGTAAGAGCTTGCAGGATGCTACACGAGGTCAGCTTTGGCTAATGGGAAAAACCACATCATTTCACTTAGTTCACAAATCAGTCTATAGAAACAGTTTTCTGTCTCAAGTCTCAGGGCTGAGTTTGATGCCAAATCAATACTGAAAGAGCTTTTCGTTGCTAGATCATATGGGGCAGCAAAAAGGTTTTGGAGAATACTATCTGGAGAAGGAAACTTTCCCTACTGAAAATCAAGATTTCTCCTGCAACTGTAAGGTAGCCCACTGCAGTGCTGTTGTCTGTACTTTCACTTGGGTCAAACTGTCGTGATTTTACCATTTTCCCTTCTCTCAACATCGCTTCTTTCAGTGTGCATCAGTATCCCTATTTTTAGACGCAGAGGCGTGACGCTGAGAATCGCAAACACGGTTACCTAACCTGAGAACCACAGGGCTCCCAGGTGGGTGTTTAGCAACACAGGCAAGAGCCACAGCCCCCTACCTTCAGGACAGAGCTCAGACCACCCTGCCTATCTGCTTCTGCAGAGCAGAGCATAAGGCTTCAGCATGCCTACCAAGAAAAAGAGCAGCATCCATCTTGTTATTTACCTTTCGTTTTAAGTGACCACGAACCCTGGGGCAGGGGTGGTGCAGAATGAGGGTTTCAAGAAGGCTTTCTTGAAAACCGTGCTGGCCTTCATCAGCCCCCAGAGGCCCTTTCACTTCCCCCACCACCCGAGGCCGCCACGGGGGCCCGGACCCCTCCTCACCTGTGCCCGTCAGCTGGGACGCGAGGGCCGGGATGTGGTGGGGAGCTCCGGTGCCAGGGGTGGCGGTGGCTTCACGCCTTGAGAACAGCCAGGCTCTGCTCTGCACGTGCTGGTGGCGTCTTGTTATTTTCCGAAAAGCGGCTGGAGCTCAGCTTCGGCTGGGGTCTTTGTCGGACATCTGAAAATCTCACATTCGCCGAGGACTTTTCTCAAACCAGTGGTCACACCGCTGGCAAGAAGCGCGTGCTGCAGAGGTGGCAGGTTAAGCTTTCAGAAGAATAAGTAGTTTCAGTTTCACTTCCCACCTCCAAAATTAACGCTTTGAACACAAACAAAATGTAGTAATTACAAGGCATGGTTTCGAAGTAACAGCTCACTGTTACCAAAAAGCGTTCAGTTATTTTCCTGTGCTCTAAGCAGCTTCGTGGCACTGCCTCCTCTCCTCGCTGCTGAACCAAGCTGAGCCGAAAATTCATTTCACTAGAAATTCTGATGCAACCCAGCCACGCAGTGGGAAAAACGAGCCATTCCCTGCCTTTCAGCTGCTGCAATTTACTTATTAAGCAAGATTACTCCCACACACGAACGAGAGGCAGGGCACTGAGCGAAAGGCTCTGTCTCGGTCTCAGTCCTGCACTGCTCTGTGTATGTGTAGTGCTGTGCCCGGGGTGCTGTGCCTCGGTAAGGACTGTGAGCTGGAGCCTACGCAGTTAAATGCCTGTGCTGGGTCATATGAGCTGTATTTCATCTGCGGGCTCCTTTTATTTGTTCAATAAACAGGTAAATCACCTGTAGGTTGCTAAGTTCTTTCGCTACCGCACTCCTGTAGGAGCTTTTATCAGTCCCGATAGCTCTGCTGCGTGTGCCTGGCTCCCTCTGCGCCCTGCAGCAGGGCTCCGACAAGGTTTTGCAGGGAGCCCGTGAGAAGCCGAGCAGGAGAAGCGATTCCCTGAAGCCGCTCGCTCACTTACCAGCACAGCGGGGCCGCGGCAGGCAGGCTGGGTGCGTGTGCTGGCGCACCAGGGCTCGGTGCCTTCTGGAAAGCACAGCGTTGTGCAACGCGCAGCATGTGCTGCCTGCTGTAATTCCTGCCAGACCTTTGCTTCCGCATACAGCCGCTTTACAAGGCCTCGGTGCCGGGAGAGAGCTTTCCCGGTGAGGTTACTTCAGTTGTAGCTGCCGAGGTATGTCAGTGCTCTTCCTGTTTATTTCACTTTTTTATGGCATTAGCTCGCCTCGCGCCAACTACGTCTTTCCTATTAGTTTCTTAATTTGATACAGCGCTGTGTGACTTCATACAGGAGATGTCTGGGACTGGATTTATCGCTCCTCCCGGCCCTAAGACTCGCGCTGCCTGAATTGCTGCCAGCTTCAGCAAAACGATCGCAGCCTTTCCCCTGAAACAGAAAATCCCCGGCACTCTGTCCTCCTGGGGCTTTCTGGGTATAGCCACAATTACTTCCTACAAAAAAAGTTACTGGGTGTACTAGAGTCCATTCCTATGTTGCATTAACTTCTCTTTTTTTCCTTTTTTTCAATTATTGAATTTCCTTCACAAGTGAAACTGCAAACAGAAGTGCAAAGCCCACGGAGCTGGCTGGCGTGGCATAGTGGACGAGACACTGGGACTGGATTGCAGCGACAGTGCTGGACGTGGACATAGAAGTGGGTTGGAGCCGTGCTTTCCCCTCGGGGTGCCTTCTGCCTGGCTGTGTGTCAGACACCCATGTTCATTGCCTTGCCAGTAATAAGGGAGAAGGAAGTTCCTGGAAAAACCCTGCTTGTAACTTTAAAATAATGGTTTCCTGCATTTGGTGTGTCTGTGTGCTTATCAGTGGCATATTAGCAAGGCTATCTGCTGGGGCTAATTATGTATTTGTAATGAGCAACTATGGTAGGCTGAAAGACTGAGGTGGTTGGGGTTGGTTGTTGTACTGTTTTTCTAACAGCTTTGGTCTGATTGCTAAGGCTTCAGGTAAGTCTAGGTCCCAAACAGGCAAATCCGGAAAATGGAGAAATACTAGGAACTCTTAAGTTTTCTGAAGCTTTTCTCATAAGCTTTCAATCAGAATCACTTTTTGAGAAGCTGAGCGTCACTGAAGGGAAGTCGGTTTCTTCCTATTTTGGGGCAGTTCATGTTAGGTCATAAGAATCATAGAAAGTGTATTCTAGGTTAGTGAGTGAAAGGACTCCCTCTGGATATCTGTGTTCCAGCTAATTCTTTCTAAGCGACTAAACGTGAAAACCCTTTCTGCAAATTTCCTCCCAGTGCTTTGACAAGTTTTAGGAACATTCAGTAAAGCATCCCAATGTGAGATTTTGGTCTTTTGGGATTGGTTGTTTGTTTTTTTTTGGTTGCTGTGGCCCATTGAGCAAGTGGCACAGTGGTTAGTGATCTGCCTAGCCTACTCAAAAGCCAGGAACTCATTGATAATGGTGTGTGGATATTCAGGAATCCCGCTCTTCATAGCTGTGTTTCTTTTGCTGCCTAAAAGCTGTTCTGTGGACCCATGTGCAGGGCAAGACCTGAGACTCGAAACAGCCTGGACCAGTCTGACACCTGCTATTTTGCTCCGCTGTTTAGCTTAACGTCATGGAAGCGTCCTTATCCTGTTGGATCAACAGCAGGTCTGGCCTGATTTCAGTGGTGCTGAGATTTTACTGCAGCTCTGCCCAGCCCTGCCGCGGCTGGACTTACAGGTGTGGGTGTCACAACTTCAGGCTGGGTTTGCCACCGTGCAACAGGAGAGATTTAGGTGTGACAGGTAACTAGCTTGTAAATGCTGAGCACAATTTCTGTGCCTTGCTGATGACCCTCTTTTGGCAGCTGGATTTCTCCCTCCATGGTACTGTGGCTTTCTCAGCGGTGTTGCGCCCAGCACAGACCTGCACGGGGGGCCGGTAGGTGGCAATGTTTGATCAGGCAGAGGAAATGGCATTTGGTATTGCAAGAGCTCGTGTGACACTTCAAGCTAATGGTACTCATTTCAGTGGTAACTTCCACGAGTTCATTTGGGAAAGGCGTAACAGAGCAAGCAGCAACCCATAGCCAGGTTCTGCAATCAGTTGTTGTGACCTTAGAGCAGCCAAGTGCCTCCTGCTCAAAGGGGAAAGAAACAGTCCCTCCTCAAAGACATGCAATCTGAGTATAAAGCAGGATATTCAGCTGCATCGCAGTGCGAGAGGAGGAGATAAGCACAAGAAGGGGTTGCTTTCACTGAAATTTCACGTTGCACTTGCAGGAACCACAAAGCGGTGAAGGGAAACGCCAGAGGAAAAAGGAGTGCAGTTCCCCCCGTGTTTTATTTACTTCTTTGTTCTTTCTTTACTCAGGACAAAAGAACTTTTCCATTTCCCTCTCATCCAACCTGAGCAAAGTCAGTCTGAGGGAGCTCATTCTGACTAGCAAAGAGCACCCTTTCTTACAAGATGGACTTTACTTGCACCACTGTCCCAGTTCTCTTGAGTTCTTTCTTTCCACATCATCTGCCCTTTGTCCTTCTTCCAAGCATGTCCTGGTCTTCCCCCCTCTAGCTTCTCCCTCTGTCTCCCCTTCTGTCTCACCATCCTCCTGATGTTTTTTCTCACTACCCTGTTGTTCCCTCCACCCTTTGTTTTGTCAGTGGGGCTTTTCTCCCTCTGTCTGGGTGCTTTCCTGCTCCCTGCTTTCCTTATTTCTATTTCATCTCCAGTCTGCCCTTGCTGCTCAAGCCCAGCCACCTGTGAAATGGAAGCACACAGTCACAGGGCAGCAAGCAAGTGTGGTAGATACCAGGAATAAGCTGGGAAGAGGAACAGACTTCTCTCTGTTGGCATCACACTGCAAGATCCTTGAGAACTGACCCAGCAGAAGGGCTTCAACATTTCCCTCCTTACTCTGGCTAGGGGATGTCTGCCCTCTTCACAAAGAACTGGCAGACACTGAGGGCTAGAGAGAGAAAACATAGCGGGGATGCTGTGAAAAGAGGTGATGTTCCCTGTGCCTTGCAGTCCCTTCTTATCGACAGCTGTGGCTTTGGAGGAAGGTTCATGCAGCTCTGTGGGAAAGAGCTCCCATAACTCCAGCTTTCATGGGATAAGGAGTGGGAAAAGGAAAGTAAGGGAGGTTTGATGCCTTAGAGCAGGTGCTTGCTTCTTGCTCAAAATTAAAAGCAAATCATCTTTTAGCCCTGATACAAAGGAAAAACTGTCAGTTCTTCCCTGTTGTTTTTGTTTGTTTGTTTTGGTTGGTTGGTTTGGTTTGTTATTGTTGTTTTTTAAGTTAGAACAAAGACCGGAGACTTAGGCATGATGGAGCATCACGTTTTTTTCAAAGAGTGTCTTAATGATTTTCAGTAGAGCTGGAAATGAAAAATCATTTGTGTACCTTAGGAACGTGTTGGGGATGAGTGCTCTGTGCACAGCTGCTGATTGTAGCTGTGCTCATTCCTCCTAGCTGTTGAATAAAAGAGTCCCCTGTGTTTTCTAAACATAGTTAGAAAGCTGTGGGGCTTTTGTTAGTGAGCCGACTGGAGTTCTCTTTGTTTACCAATAATTGGGGGTCCAGCTTTCGGGTATTTGGTGGTCATCTCCCTTCTTTTGTTACCTGGAGGTGATTTACTGGTTGAAGTTCTGATCCCCTGGTTGTAGGTCACTACGCTTCCAGCTGGCATAGACATCTCACGTTTGCTATTTTGTGGAACTCCACTCAAACCAGAAAGAGAAAATACTTGGCATACAGATAAAGCTTTTCCTTCTGTAATTGCTTACAAGAAGTATGCAATCCATGTATTGTTCTGACATTTTTCTGCCTGCAGATAACCTCTGAACCTCACCTGGAGAGTCTCCCTGATATCTCAGTCATTGACCTTATCAGATTTACAAGCTCCATGTGGTTGGACCTCAAACAGGCTTGCTGAAGGAAGTCTGTGTTGCTGTAGGTAGCACAGCATGCAGTGTGACACCCTGGCTTAGCTCTGTGCAATAGAGGGCATGCATGTGGAAGCCCATCCTTTGTATCAAACCTCACACTGACGATCTAAACAAGAGGAGACTTGGTGAGTCACAACTATTACATGATGGAATTATTCACCTTTATAATCCCAGTGACCAGCTCTGGCCGTTAAGAGACCTGAGAGCTCTCCTTGCTAGAACTACAACAATAGTTCAGGTTTCCTGCAGTGATTACAGCTGAGGAAAGTATGTTCTCCCTCAGTGATAACCCTTGCACTTCAGCTTGATGTTCTCTGCTCTTTGCTGTTTCCTGTTCTAAAGACCTAAACTGTGGAAACGGTCCAAAGCTGTGGTTTCTCAAGGTGGCCACATATCAGCTCTAATCAAAGGCATCACAACACATAGCTTGTCTAGTGGTGAGTATTTTTGTCTTGGGAGTTGATAAGATTCTAACAATGATAAGGTATATTTTCTATACTGAAAAATCTCTTTTCTTTTGTTCTGAAGCAGATCCATTGGCATATAAACACTGTGACAATTGTTCTAGACTCCAGTGAAGTAAAAGTAATTTTGAAGAGTTAAGATAAGCCCTAAAATAAACTTTTATGTATATATGGCATATGGTTTTCCTCAGATGTAGGCTTTAATTGTAGTTTCTGGTCAGTCGTTGTGATATCACTCTTGCTTTCCAGCTGGCATCCTAAAACTAAGTGACCAAAAAATA